CCCAGTGCCGGTCCTGTACAGCCCTGCTGGTGCTGCTTGCGTGTCGGCAAGGTGTAACGAAGTAGGTCAGTGCTGGACTTCTGCCTTTTGAAATACTCAGATTGGAAGCGTTAGAACAGTTCTGACAGGCCGGTGGCAGGGCTTTATTCCGCTGCATAAGGCGATACCAGTAGATGCAGGCTGCCGTGACCACGCTGTCCTGCTGGAATGGGTTCTCCGTAGAAGAGAATTGCCTCGTATATGTTGCTTTGAATGGCCTGTTCTCTGTAACGTCTACGGAACGTGGGCAAAGCTATTTGCAAACTGTTCTGAAGACAGTTTAGTTGAAGGTTTTCTTTATTGTAGTCAGTTCTTCGGAACTGGTGTCCCTCTGGGGAGGTTTCTTGGTTTTGAGTTTGCACTAAGAACAGCAGATTTATTTATTTCCCCCCCCCCCCCCCCCCTTACAAAAGCTTTATTGGTAAGGTAACGAAGCTGTTTAAATGACACCCCCTCCTGAATGCCACAGAGGACTTATTTGTGCTAAAATTTTGTGCATTTCCTTGGAACTTGATTTATCTCTGCTTAATTGCTTAAGAGTAGTACAGTATAGCTCTTTCTGTAGGAGTTTGGTTTCCAGATTTTTTTCACTTATGGAATGTTGTAACACTTGGTTGAGATATTTGCCTTCATATATAAACTGTGAAAAAAAGTTTATTTAGTTTTATTTTATCAACTCACTGCAGATAGTTCTGGACAACCGATGGGCCTGAAACCAACAGACTGAAAAATCAGTGTTATAGATTCTTTTTGTTAAAGGCACCAGTTTTAGGACTTCAGACCTCTGATTGCTTGGGAAAGTGACTAAGTCTCTTCACATTTATCTGGAACAGAATCTAAATGTACTGTGCTACTTAACAGCTGTTATGAAGATAAATTTTTGAAAACTTTTTTGAAAGCCAATAGTATTGCTTTCTAAGAGCAATAATATAAGAATAACTTTTATTATTGAAAGACGTGATGGGAGAAGGTATTTTTAAAAGTCAAGTTTGGAAACTAGTTTGGAAGGAGTAGGTTTTCCTGGTAAAGAAGAAAAAAAAAAAATATAAGCTGATGTTAGGGTCTTGGAGAAATACCCGAACAGTGCATTTTGCGTTTATGGCTCCCTCCTCTCCAAGAAAGAGAGAAATTTTTAATTTTTTTATTTATTTTTTTTAAAATTATGTACTTTTTTGGTTTGTTACTGAAGACAAGAAGCATTGAAAACAAGGATTGAAATTAACTTCAAAACCTTGATGGAGTGAGAGGAGAGAAAGGAGTTGTTCTGTAGCCTCAGACTAGCCTGAAAGAAAGCTTGTAGTTCACAGTGTGCTCTGTGCTTGCTCTGTGCTTTCTGGCGGCGTCATTTCCATTTCACGTATGTCTCTATTTTCATGATGTCCAATGCTTTAAAGTTTCTGTTTCTGTCTTCTTGTTAAGTTAGTCTCTTTGCCTTTTCTCACAAGCTATTTTAAAAGCATGCTATTTCTTTCTGATCTTGCTTCAGAAGATCCGCACTGTCTTCTCACTCCTCATTGTCTGCTTGCTCTTAGCAAAGTTGTCTCCGGCAAAGGGAAACAGGAGGCAGTGTCCCAGAAGGATAAGGTTGCTCTTAGTTGCAAGCAGCCCTGTAGTGAGAATGTGAAGTGGTTCTCTGGCAGATCAGTAGGAGCGACCAAGGAGACAACACAGCTCAGTCTAGCTAGTATGGGTCTGTTTCTAGTGACAGTGCAACACCAGGTGAAGATTATTACTGTAGTGGGAGTTCAAGGCCTGACAGGAGACATTGCAACAGAAAATGTCTGGGGGTGAAACTTTGGATAGAGTGCCTGGTTTTGTTCCCGGAGGGAGACTCTGCAGGGAGCTGAAGAGGGACAGGCAGTTCCACTCGGAATAGTTGTGGCGGAAGGCGTTGTGGATAGAGGACCTGCTGTTTGCTAGTTCAAGTTGTCAGGAATTGCTGAACTTTGAGCATCCCAGTGAGATACAGTGAATACCCTGCTGGGAAGGTGATGGCTGACAGTAGATGCCAGGGTGGACTTCGAGGTGGAAGGGTCAAACAGCCAGACATAATGAACAGTGGGGATTGTTTCACCAACTCCGTTAAGCTTGCCCCGTTATGAGAAGAAAACTTGGGCTGCTTGCATAGTTGTATCATTTGCCCCAAGTCCTTTGTCTACCTCTTCCTGGCAGTGGTCAAGACTGCCATTTCAGATGAAATGCAGAACTGGAGGGACATTGCAGATTAGTATTTTTAAAATGCCGTGCCATGTAATCTTTACTAGACAAAATAGGAGAACCAGTATCTGCTGGTGGCTGCTTTCTCTGACGTAGAGGTGCATTATTTTGTTAAGGGTCATAATGAGGTATAATAACAATGCACTGACGCAGGGTAATGAAGCAACTTCAAGTGTTCATGTACATGTATGCCAGAACTGCCAGGTACTATAATTGTCATGGTATTTGTAATAGCAGTCTTCCAGTGCAGTTACTGTGAGCTCTCCTTGTCCTCTCTTCAGTACCTTTTCCCTATCACAGCTTGTGCAAAGTTGTTCGCCCTATTCCAGTGGTGCAGAAGGATAGTTTGAAAGCAAGTAAATGAAGTAAATTTTGTAAAAAAAGGAAGGAGAAGTTTCATGGCTTAAGCACTGTCTGGGAGAACTTAATTGTTATTAGTTTCCTTTGTGATACTAGGTGCCATTACTTCAACTAGATGTGTCATAGGAAATTGCTAATTGTGTATTCCTTGTTTGCTGGGGACTAGCTCTAGTGGATTTTGAGCTAAAAGAATCCTGAGTGTTTAGAAGTTTAGTCAAGGGAAACTAATGCCAAATACCTTGGAAATTGGTGTTCTTGTAATTGTGGTTAACATCTTGTCATTTGGTGGTGCTCAGGGAAAAGTGAATCAGCATATCTTTTATATTGGAATAGGGCTGAGATTTGTGAGAGGTATAGTAGAGGCTCTGTTGTGGGGTGTATGGGGAAGTCTGGATGGTACAAACTCTCTACATATTTTTTTTTTTCTTCCAGGCTTCTTTATGGACAAAGTTATCACTTTTCTCCATTGTAGGTGCACTCACTGATAGACTTTTTCCCTTCTTGGGGAAACATGTTTTGTTCATGATATTTAATAATGATCTTCTGCCAGCAAATAGGGAACAGGGGCCTTTAGTTCTTCTTGTTCACAGTCTGAGAATTCTGCAAAATGGAGAGAGCAGGCTGTCTGTCTATTGCACGAGGAAATTGTGTTAAGACTGTACAGGACAAAGAGGAGTTGGGGTGGGGGGTGGGTGAGGAGAGAAATATAAATGGAAATTCACTGATATTAACCAGTTTTCCCCCCTCCTCCCTTCCTTTTAACTTACAGATATCCTTGATTTGCAGAAGGCATCCCAAAATGTTGTGTCGAGCTGCTCTGAGCCCTCTTGTCCGTTCCCCTGGATGGTCCTTTGTGTTATTGCCACGTGCCATCGCAGCCATTTCCCGTTTATGTATGTATGAGAGAAAGCACACGTTTCTAATAATGTTGGTCAGTATGTCTCTGGGCATGCCTATGCTCTTTCCTATGTTGAAAGGAAAATCACCTCATTAACATCATTCAAATCTTACAACTTCTGGAGTGAGCTGCAGTTGAAGCTCTACTTTCTTAATGTTACCTTCTCCCTTAACTCAATACTATTCAGCTGGATGTCTGAGAGGGTGTATTTTTCAGTCTGGCATGCATTTCAAACAAAAAGAATCAGTTGTGAAAGTACTGCTACTGTAAATGTTCTTTATTTCAACCTCATACATTCCTGGAAAACAAGATCTGATTATGCTTGCTCCCCCATTTTCAGTGCACAGATGTCTTGAGTAAAGCAAGCTGTGAATCTCAAATTTATTCAGATTAGATAAAAGTGGAAAGATGCTTGCAGGAAACCTGAGTGTAAATATGTAGGTGCCCTGTAAATAGTTTTTTCCTGAAAACCTAACTTGAGAGAACCATTCACTGTCTATTTGGTTAGTCATCTGAAACAGAGAAGGCAAGGATAGACAAAGTCTGTTAGATTAAAAGATGAACTGTTTGCCATTGCATGCAAGAATAATTTCCTATTGATCTGTGTGTTAACAGTTATCTTTTGTTGATATTTATATGAATTAATAAATGTTGAAATCTTGAAAATGCTAAACTTGTTTTTTCTGAGCCGTAGCTCTGACTTCTGCATTTGTAGTATTTCTAAATATTCCGCGTTTTCCAAAGTTAGTAAACTACTCATAGTTAACACTGAAAATTGTTCCTCAGTATTGACAGTAGTCAGTACCCAGTATTGCAGCAACTCTGGTTACTTCATCAGCTGCATTCTAAAGCTGGATTGAGCATTTATCACAGTTTTCTTTTGTTCTGTACTGTTTCTGTTGTGATCCTATTCAACTCGTGTATTTTGAAATTCTGCTTCTTTACTCCTGAGAAGCTAGCCTCATGCAGGTTATGTAAAAGGATCTGCAGTGTTAAATACTGAAGTCTTTTTCATATGTTTCTACTTCTTTATTAAGGAAGTGAAACGGTTGACAAGGCACTGGATATAAAGACTGGAGTGCCTAGAAACCTGTTTGTCCAAAAAGTTGACTGGATGGCTATGTCAGTTTCTCCCCAGTTGTGTTTGAAGCAAGTTAACGGGCTTGCATCACTAGAAATGTTTTGCATAAGTAACATGGGAGCTGATTTCACATGTCAGTCCACTCTAAAATAACTGAAAAAGATACGTTTATGCAGTCACAGAGCAAGGTTAGCAATTAAGACTTCAGTGGAGATGGATGAAATTCTGTGCTTGTTCTAGAATCATTGTCTTTCTCCTTGTTTTTCTGAAAAAACAAGTGGTTTCTTTTCAGATGCTGGTTATGCCTCAACAGCTGCTGCCTTGGAACCCTCTAAACCCTGAAGCTCTAGCCAAGAGAATTAGAAAGAAATTGTTTTTACTCCTTTCTAGATGTACTGTGTGGGATAGGCAAATACTGTATAGTAATGTATAATGCTGGAAAGAATAGTTAAATTGGACTCCTTCACCTGTTCTTTCACAGAATCACAGCATGGCGGGAGTTGGAAGGGATCTCTGGGGATCATCCAGTCCAACCCCCAGCCAAAGCAGGGTTACCCAGAGCAGGCTGCACAGGACCATGTCCAGACGGGGTTTGAATATCTCCGGAGAAGGAGACTCCACAACCCCTCTGGGCAGCCTGATCCAGGGCTCTGTCACCCTCAGAGGGAAGAAGTTCTTCCTAGTGTTCAGGATACAAAACCTCGTGTTTCATATGTATTATAGGCCTTGTTTACATTCGCAAATATTCTCTCATGAAAATGAGGGGCAAATGAAACTCGTCTCCAAATTCCACTTTCTACTTTTATATGTGTGACATGTTAGTGCAGCCCTCAGTTATGATTAATCATTTAAGCTGCTTCTGCATGTATAATGAACAAAAGATTTATTTATTTAAAACAGTTAAATGACAAGCTTCTCTTTTCTGTAGCACTGTGTTCATTATTGTCTTTCTCCAGCAGAAGTAACACCCGGAATAGTCACTTTAGGTTATAAATTAATCTATTTTGTGTTATAGAGTATCAAAATTAGAGAGACTGAACAGATTAAATCAGATAACTCTAACCGTGGCTCAGATAACTCTGGCCACGGCATAGGATTCAGTTCACTGATTTGTAAAGAAACCTCTACACCTTCAGGTGAGATATTGGTTAGAATTGACTAGAATAGAATAATTCAGTTGGAACGGACCTACAACAATCATCTATTCCAACTGCCTGACCACGTCAGGGCTGAGCAAAAGCTAAAGCATATTAAGAGCATTGTCCAAATGCCTCTTAAACACTGACAGGCATGGGGCATCTACCACCTCTCAAGGAAGCCTGTTCCAGCGTGTGGACACCCTTTTGGTACAAAAAGTTTTCTAATGTCCAGTCTGAACGTCCCCTGGCGTAGCTTTGAACGATTCTCGCCCATCCTGTCCCTGAATCCCAGGGAGAAGAGCTCAGCACCTCCCTCACCATGTCCCCTTCTCAGGAAGCTGCAGAGAGCAATGAGGTAGCCCCTCAGCTTCCTCCTCTCCCAACTAGACAAACCCAGATTTCTCAGCCGCTCTTCAGAGGACGTCTTCCAGCCCTGTCACCAGCTTTGCTGCCCTCCTCTGGACGCTTTCAGGTACCTGAACATCCTGCTTAAATGGTGGGGCCTAGAACTGCACACAGTACTGAAGGTGAGGCTGCACCAATGATAAATGTATCTGGATAATCACCTCTTTTGACCGGCTGGTCACTCTGTGTTTGATGCACCCCGGGATGCAGTTTGCCCTCTGGGCTGCCTGGGCACACTGCTGGCTCCTGTTGAGCCTGCTGCCGACCAGCAACCCCAGATCCCTTTCTGCAGGGCTGCTCTCCAGCCACTCCGCTCTCAAACTACGCTTGTGTCCAGCGTTACTCTGCCCCTGGTGCAGAATCTGGCACTTGTTAAACTTCCTGCCATTAATGACTGCCCAAAGCTCCAATCTGTCTAGATCCCTCTGCAAGGCCTCTTGTCCCTCGAGAGCCAACACCACCTCCCAGTTTGATATTGTCAGCAACGTTGCTAATGGTGCAGTCGACTGCTGCATCCAGATCATTGCTAAAAATACTGAACAGCACTGGGCTTGGGACTGAGCCCTGAGGAACACCACTGGGGACCAGTCACTGGACAGATGGAGTCCCATTCACTACAACCCTTTGAGCCATGCCGTCCAGCCACTTTTTCACCCAGCGCACTGTGAGCCCACTCATCCCACAGCTGCACAACTTGCCAGAAGGATGCTGTGAGGAACAGTATCAAAAGCCTCACTGAAATCCAGAAAAACTACATCCACCATCTTCCCTTCATCCACTGGGCAGGTGACCTTGTCGCAGGAGGATATCCAGTAGCTAAACGGAACTTTGCCTTTGTGAACCCATGCTGACTGTGCCTGATGATTGCATTGTTCTCTGCCTTTCAGTAGCATCCAGTATGATGTTCTCCATAATTTTTGCATGAATGTGTGCCATCTTTTGGCTAAGTTGCACTTTTGGTCCCAGAGTGTGGTGTTGGTAGCCATTTTTTCTGTAATTACATCAGAAGTGTTCTCCCTCTTTTTTGCTGTACTGGCATTTTTGAGACTGTCTCACAGTTGACCTGGTTTAATGCAGTTTCTGAATAGTAATACAAGAAGAACTAGATGGAAGATATGGAAGTGTGGCATCAAATTTATTTCAAATAGTATGGCTTATCCATATTGTATTAATTATCCAATTGACACTCTTGGACTGCAGGTATTCTTACCTGCACAACTCCTCCTTCAGACACAATTCACCGTGACCCTGCAAAACTTCATATGAAGTGTGCTGGAACTGCTTTCTATCTGCCTTTGTTCCTACAGCTTAACTTTTAGTCTTTATGTGTTTGGGTCCACCTCTTTGTCACTTACAAAGGGTCCAGACTGTTCCTTGTGATTGTACCTTAATAATCACCATTCTCTTAAACCTGCTGTGCTGGTAGTGGTGTCTACTGTCCTTTGCAGGCATTTTGAAAAGAAAGATTTTGCTGAGAAATGTTCCCTAGCTCACTGACTTGGGCGAAGTGTCAGCCTTATGTATCTTGTATCTTACTTGAGTAATGTGACTGTGACTGTCTCTTCTCCCTCCAACACCTGTTTATCCTGTAGGAAGGTGACTTCCAGTTTGTATGTCCATGATCCCCCTTCTGCTGCCCCTAGTTGAGTAACATTCAAAACCACGTAACTTAGAGATGTTTTAAAAGTTGTGTTTCTTTACTTCCCTAACAGTGAAGCTTTCTGCGCTGCTACACATAGGGAAGCTCTCTAGCTGTATCTAATGAGGCAAGGCAAAGGAGGTTGTTTTTAAACTAGTACTTCCATTGTGAGCTGTATGGGCTCTTTTACAGTGTCCTTCAGTTTGGTCTTCTAGATTGTCAGAGTCAAAGCTTTGTGACACATGAGGTATTGCATTATATACAGTAGGGATAGTTAGTGCTGCTCACTTTCTCTGGGTGACTTCAAAGCTAACTTCTCGTTCCCAGTCACTGAGAAGTGTGTATTGTGAGCTTTAACCTTGGAAAGGGAGGAAATGTTACATGACTTCTAGGGCTAAGTCTGAATGAAACACTTAAAACTGCTTTTTTTTTTTTTTTCTTTCTTTCTTTAACCACAGATCTCCCTTGCCATAACCGAAGATTAAGGAATGAATCCACCCGTTGTTGGAGCAACATCCCGTTTATCACCATGCCACTCAGCCGTGCACATGGAAAATCGTTTGCACACCGCAGTGAGCTGAAGCATGCAAAGCGGATTGTAGTGAAATTGGGTAGTGCTGTTGTGACTCGAGGGGATGAGTGTGGCTTGGCTCTTGGGAGGCTGGCATCAATTGTAGAGCAGGTAATTCTGTGGCTGAAGTGGAATGTTTGTTTTAACTTCGCATACTTGGTGACTGGGTTGACGGTTGGACTGGCTGATCTTGGAGGCCTTTTCCAACCTTAATGATTCTATGATTCTGTGTGATTGTTGGATGGCACAGAAGACTGTAGGAAAAACTCAAAACAATGATGGCCCTTTCAAGTAATGTGTTGGCCTTTTGCTTTTTCATCCCCCTGTGCTGTGATAGCATAAACCATGTCACTCAGTAAATTGGTGTTTGAAAGTGTGGTGGGTTGACCCTGACCAGCAGCTAAGCACCCACGGAGATGCTTGTTTGCTCTCCACACCTCCATCCTGCCACTAGTCGGATTGGGAAGAAAATAAGAAGAGCAAAAGTAAGAAAGCTCATGGGTTGAAACAAAAACAGCTTAATAACTGTAGTAAGGGGGGAGAGAAACAAGTGATGCTAAGACAATCACTACCTCACACAAGCAGATCAATGCTCCACTAGTCCCCAAGTGGCGGCCACCTTGAAAGATAACCCCCTAGCCTTTCCTATTCTGCTACCCTAGTTTCATTACTAAGCGTTATGCTAGATAGTATGGAATGTCCCTTTGGCCAGTTCATGTTAGCTGTCCCAAATGTGTGCTCTTCTAACTTCTTGCCCAGCCCCTAGCCTACCTGCTGTGATGGGACATAGTGGGAAAAATAAAGCCATGATTCTGTGCAAGTACTGCTCAGCATGGGAAAAAGAGAAGGCTTTGATGCTATGTAAGCACTGTTTCGCAATAGGCAAAACATCGGAATGTTATCAACACTGTTTTAATCCTAAAATCCAAAACACAACACCATATGGGCCCCTATGAAGAAAATTAACTCCATCTCGGCCAGACCCAGTACCGAGAGATTTGTACAGTGAGATTTTTGTGCAGTAAGAAAGACATGACTGGGACATTAGTTTGATCTAGTGGGAAGGTGGCACTGAAGTCTGTGAAGTCTGCAGAAAGAGTAGACCCTTCTTGATTACCTGAGCATTTGCTGATTTCCTCTAGGAGGAAGCCTGAAACCTTATTACCAGTAGAAAAATTAATGGGATCAAGTCATGGATTGGTTCTCCAAAATGAAGTTAATGACTTTGGTGGGGTTGGACGTGTTGTCTCTGGGAAGTAAAGTTAACATAATAAATTAATTTAACGTAAGACATTTAGCTTGAGACCTTTGAAAGGAATCTGGCCAGATGCATGTAAGGAAGAAGTAATTAAAAGCTGAACTATCAGGGTTAGCTTCTTCACTTCTAGAATACAAAATTACTGTACAATGGCAGCTTTGGGAGTGGATGGTGAGTAAGAAGGTTGCTGGAAGGTACAGCTGCTACTTTACAGCGTTTTCATATCTTATCTTTCCTTATCTGTAGCAATGGAGGTGTGGGGGATATAGAAGTGTTAGCATGTAATACATATTGTGAAAATTCAGGCATGACTGTGTCATAAAAACTGGTATTGTGAAAGTTTAGCAGAAGCTATAGATTGCATGCAGTCCTTTGCATAGCTCCTAAGTAGCTAGGAGGGTGTGCAGGAGTATCTTAGAGGGTGGTTGCCTTGCTTTGCGCATCCATGGATAAAATGAAACACTTGTGTCAGCAAGAACTGATGAGCATAAGGTTATCTTTAGTAGTCAGAACTGTCATGCTAGCAACGATCCTACTCTAGGCCTTATTTCTTATGTTCTGTACTTACAGGTATCAATGCTGCAAAATCAGGGCCGAGAGATGATGATTGTCACCAGTGGTGCTGTAGCTTTTGGAAAGCAGCGGTTGCGTCATGAGATCTTGCTTTCTCAGAGTGTGAGGCAAGCGCTTCATTCAGGCCAGAGTCAGCTAAAAGATATGGTGAGTGACTGGTGGCACTCCCGCTTTTCCTTGAATGTTGGGTGGTACCTGCTCAAGTCACTGCCTGACAGCTATTCTTTATCTTTGTAGGCTATTCCAGTCTTGGAGGCGTTTTTGTGGGTTTTTCCGGTCTGGGGGGCGGGAGCCTGTGCAGCGGCTGGCCAGAGTGGACTGATGGCTCTGTATGAGGCCATGTTTACGCAGTACAGCATTTGTGCAGCTCAAGTAAGGGATTCCTTCTTTCGTAAACTGACTTGCTACTTCAGTCAGTGATGGAATTGTTCTTGGATTTTCTCTGTTTTATGTGCTGCTGTCTTTACTGTAGTCTTGCATTTCCGTTGCCATCCTACTTTTGGGGCTTATTACTGTAGCGTAAGTGGTAGCTTATACAGGAGTACCTTGCTTAGTTTTCTGAAGTGGGATTACCTATCATCGAGGTGAAGCAAATAAGCTTTTTCTTTTTGGAGTTTGTGTGTATCCTGCTCTCATCTACAGGGTGGGGTCTGTTAAAGTCTCTTCACAAAAGGTGAAGCTGGTGATCCGAAGTGAGGGTTGAAGAATCACAGGTAGCTGACCTGCCACACATTCTATAAAGCTGACAGAAGTGCATATCTACACGTTGGAACTTGCTGTCCATCTGCTTCTCAAACCTTTCTAACTTGTGGATGATGGTATCCCTAGCCTGGGTCTTCTACCTATTCCGAATGCCACAACTGTTTTAATTGAACTACTCTTAAACAGGCTTCACTTATCTTAAGTACTCTGAGAATACAGAACTGTGTCAATGGTAATGCCTTATTTGTTTAGACACTTTTAATGAATTTAGGCACCTATTATGAAGTCTACCTTGGAGGAACTTCTTCCTGTAATACAGTATAGCTGATATCACTAGAATGTTTACAGTATAGCTAACAATCGCTATAGGCTGAGCTGGATTATAATCTTGTTCGAGTTTGGAGACAACTATCATTCTGTCGATTCGAAAGAATTAATTGGCCGTGCAAAAGAAATCAGTGTACATGTTGATTTCAAGTGCTATTGTAACATTTGTGTCGTGGAGTTGTTTGCTTTGTTCTCCAATGGCAGAGTAAAAATGAAAAAAATGTCACTTCAGAGCAGACATTGAGGGTTTTTTGTCTTAAAATACCAAAAAGAAAGAGATGGTGTCTGCATGCAGGAGGCTTTTAAGACCAAGATTCTTTCAGAAATGCAAGTGAGTTTTAAGAGCTGAGACAAAGCATACCTTCTGCTTGCAACAGCAGAAACATTGCACTGAGAGGGAGAACAGGAAAGACAGTGCCTTGAGTAATCTAGCAAATTGTTTAGGGTCTTACTAGGTATCATCAGCATCTGTGTTCTGCTTATGTTTTTTTTTCCAAGTTGATTCCTGTACCTTCTGATCTGTCAGCTTGAGAAAGGCCATTATAGGCTCCAGTGGATGTTAAGGCATATAAACTTGAAAATGTTGTGGAAAGATTGTTTCTCAGTTGTATTCTGTAGCCTTTAAATGTGGGTTATGTTTCTTTGGAGACCTGAAGGACATGGCTGATCTGTTATGATATGTTAATACATATGTTTATGGTGTTCTTCTCAGGAAAAGTGGTAGGCTAAGTATATATTAATTTTTTTTTTCTCCATTTAGATTTTAGTCACCAACCTGGATTTCCATGATGAGCAGAAGCGTCGGAACTTAAATGGAACGTTGCATGAGCTTTTAAGAATGAATATTGTCCCTATAATTAACACTAATGATGCTGTTGTTCCACCTCCAGAGCCGAACAGTGATCTGCAGGGGGTAAATGTGGGTAAAGTATTGCGAAGGGGGTGTGTCCTGCTTGTAGATGGTACAGCACTAGTGTGTACTTCACTAATGCCGTAATCGGGGACCTCTGAAGCAGTGAAACAAACAACCAAATTAGTAATGTGTACAGAGGGTACTGGAAGACTATGCTGACCTGTCTATTTCTGGCATGATACAGTGCTGTGGGGTGGAAGCAGCACAGATGATGTCTGCTTTGCCAAAAGCAAGCATGCCCAGTCTGGTTTTCACCGAGTAGTTGAAGTTGGAAGGGACTTGTGCAGGTCGTCTAGTCCAGCACCACTGCTTAAAGCAGGGTCTGTTAGTACCTCTTGTCCTGTCAGTGGGCACCGAGGTGGAGAATGCGGGTACTGATCACACTGATTGTCATTTTGATACTGCTTCATTGCATTCCAAAAGTGTATATACTTTCATACAAAGGTCACCTTCTAAGTTTCCAGTGGGTGTGAACAAAGTAGCTCAGAAGGACATGTTAGTAGTGCTGAGGTAGCTAGCTTTTGTATGTTGCAGCCAAATATTTCCTAGTTCCTCCTGCTGTTCAGTGCTGCTGATATGCATGTGCATTGCAGGTGATTAGTGTGAAGGATAACGACAGTCTGGCAGCACGACTGGCTGTGGAAATGAAAACTGATCTTCTGATTGTTCTCTCAGATGTAGAAGGTTTGTGAGTCACTTCTTCGGTTTCTTGTTTTATTGAAGTACATCAGATAGTCAAACCAATGTATGTTCGGGTTTTACTGATCTCTTCAGTTCATATCTTTTACAGGGACAATTGCAACGTACCCCATAACTCCTTAAGGCATATACCCAATGCTGATGCTGTTGCATAAGCCAAAGACTGTCTGCCACACTGGTGAATCTGGGTGGGTGAGAATGCATGTGAACCTGCGACTTGTTTCAGAACCCAGAATACCATATGTGCTATGGTACTTCTGCTAGCTTCTCAGAATTGTATGATATAGTTATGAGTAATATGCAGGATAGAGGCTATGTGTTTAGAATCAGGAGTATAAGCCAAATACTATTCTACAATAATTTGTTTCTTCTGGCAGCGGGTTCTGTCTTTCAGTGAATTACAGGTATATTACAAGTCCTCGTCACTGCCTTCAAGACACCTGGAACTTGCTAGCATTTTCTGTCTCCCAGGCATTTGGCTTACACTGCTCTAGTCTTCTGAGCTGTGCTGCTGTGACAGAAGTTTGTCACCTATGGATGTTGAAGTTCCTTTTCTAGAGAGAGGAGGGTAGTGGGTGAAGATTCAGATCAGTGCAGTCCACATCACCCAAGTCACAAAGTCTTTTCATCTTCTCCAGATGGGTTTCTTTCAGTGGATCCTGGACTTTCGCACATACTGTAGGCACTGAGGAGGAAGGAGGTGCCTTTCTATAAACAGTTTCTTTTAGCAGATTCGGCTGGATTTCATGGTTGATTCCAGTTGAACTGACTGTCTGAGAGCAACTCATACAAGCAATAGTCCAAACAACTTGTAAAAAAATTAACACCCAACACCCCTGTCCTCCTAGCTTATTCATTCAATGTGACATCTTGTGTATGTAAAGATGTGTGTCCTCTCCTTCCCAATCTATCAAGGAAGGACAAAGTTAGTCTGCACTTGTGCTCTCTAATTTGTAATGCCATTATTTGTTAACATAGAATTTCTGGGAATTGTGGTGATAGAGTTTAGGTTTAACATGTTACATAAACCACAGGGTCATTCAACTCCGAACATAGTTACATAAAATCGCTAGATTTAAAAAAAAATGAAGGAGAGTATGTCTCTGTAGTGTTATGTTCCTTCTTAGGAGAATTTGATAGTTACCCTTTTTACATATTTCTGAATTGCCCAGTTTAGCACTGTGCAACCCAGTGTTCAAGAATATCATCTGCGATTTTCGTGAGGAGGACTATCCTTTCTTTTCCTGGTCAGTTGTGGGCTTGTATTTGTAAGCCCTGATAGAAGCTGTAAACTGTCTCTGTAATCTCAATGAAATGTCACTGCCTTCCAGCTTGCATGCTGCTATTCAGCATGTGGGTTTTCGGTTTCTTATTTGTTATGCTTTCAGTAAAGCTATACTTCTTCAGTCTGCCTGTTAAGTGTTTTATGCTTTCAGTCCCACAAAAAGCAGGGTCCAGTGAAAGTTTTCAATCCTATAAAGTGGAATACAGCTTTTCAGCCTCATGGTTTTTGCTTTTTTTTTGGAGATGAAGGTACATAACACTAGCAGATTTTTATTATTTGTTTCAGGACTCTTTGACAGCCCTCCAGGATCTGATGATGCAAAGCTCATTGACATATTCTACCCAGGAGACCAGCAGTCTGTAACATTCGGAACCAAATCCCGGGTGGGAATGGGAGGCATGGAAGCCAAGGTAGAAATATGGAACACTTGTTTTGTTATTGGGAAGGAAAGAGAGATGTGGGAAAGGGAGATGGATGACATGATTGTGCTGCCATTGAGATGGATCTTGACAGACTGCAGAAATGGACAGACAGGAACCTTATGGAGTTCAATAATGGGAAATACAGAGTCTTACCCCTAGGGAGGAACAACTCCATTTCCCTGCTCACTGTAAGTGGGTTAGACTAGATGACCTGTAAAGGTCCCTTCCAACCCCAACTGTTCTATGATTCCATGCACTGGTATGGGCTAGGGAGTTTACTGGCTGGAAAGCAGGTACATGGAAAAGGGCATGGGAGTCCTGGTAGACACCAAGTGGAATGTGAGCCAACAATATGCCCATTGGGCAGAGCAGGCCAACAGCATCCTGGCTTGCTTCAGAAAGAACATAGCCAGCAGGTCGAGGGAAATGAGTATTTCCCTCTACTCAGCACTAGTGAGACCACATCTGTAGAGTTGTATCTGTTTTTTTGACACTGTTTCCTACAGCATCCTCCTGGAGAAACTAGCTGTTCATGATTTGGGTAGGTGTACACTTCGCTGGATAAAAAACTGGCTGGATGGCCGAGCCCAGAGAGTTGTGGTGAATGGAGTTAAATCCAGTTGGTGGCCTGTCACGAGTGGTGTTCTCCAGGGCTCAGTTTTGGGGCCAGTCTTGTTTAACATCTTTACCAGATGTTCTGGATGAGGGGTTTGAGTGCTCCCTCAGTAAGTTTGCGGATGACACCAAACTGGGCGGGAGTGTCAATCTATTTGAGGGTAGGAAGACTCTGCAAAGGGATCTGGACAGGCTGGATTGATGGGCCAAGGTCAGTCATATGAGTTTCAACAAGGCCGAGTGCCAGGTCCTGCACTTGAGTCACAACAATCCCATGCAAAGCTGCAGGCCTGGGGAAGAGTGGCTGGAGAGCTGCCTGGCGGAAAAGGACCTGCGGGTACCAGTTGACAGCTGGCTGACCATGAGCCAGCAGTGTGCCCAGGTGGCCAAGAAGGCCAGTGGCACCCCGGTTTGTATCAGGAATAGTGTGGCCAGCAGGAGGAGGGAGGTGACCATGCCCCTGTACTCGGCACTGGTGAGGCTGCACCTCAAGTGCTGTTTACAGTTTTGAGCCCCTCACTGCAAGAAGGACACTGAGTTGCTGGAGCGTGTCCAGAGAAGGGCAATGAGGCTGGTGAGGGGTCTGGATAACAAGTCTGATGAGGAGCGGCTGAGGGAGCTGGGGGTGTTCAGTCTGGAGAAGAGGAGGCTGAGGGGAGACCTTATCGCGCTCTACAGCTACCTGAAAATAGGTTGTAGTGAGGCAGGTGTTGGTCTCTTCTCCCAGGTAACAGGCAACAGGATGAGAGGAAATGGCCTTAAGGTGCGTCAGGGGAGGTTAAGATTAGATATTAGGAAAAATTTCTTCACTGAGAGGGTTGTCGAGTGTTGGAACAGGCTGCCCAGGGCAGTGGTGGAGTCACCATCCCTGGAGGCGTTCAAAAAACGTGTAGACGTGGCACTTCGGGATATGATTTAGCAGGCATGGTGGTGTTGTGTTGACAGTTGGACTTGATGATCTTGGAGGTCTTTTCCAACCTTAATGATTCTGTTCTATGTTCTGGACACCTCAGTACCAGAAGGACATGGCATACTACAGTGAATCCAACAGAGCCACGAATATGATTAAAGAATTGGAGCATCTGTCACACTAGGAGAGGCTGAGAGGTAGGACTGTTTATCCCGGAGAAGAGGAGGTTTGTGTGTAAATACCTGAAGGGAGGGGGTAGGGAAGACAGAGCCAGACTCTTCTCAGTGATATCCAGGGAACAGACAAGAGGCAATGGGCACAGACTGAAATACAAGAAATTAAACTGAAATGTAAGAATTTTATGGTGAGGTTGCTGATGCACTGCTGCAGGTTGCCGAGGGAGCTTGTGGAATCTCAGTGTTTGGAGATGTTCAAAACCTGCCTGGAACAGTGTCTGTAGTTAACAGTCTGCTGTAGTTAACCCTGCTTTAAGCAGGCAATTGGACTATATGATTCCAGAGATGTTTTCCAGCCTGAGCTGTTCTGTGAGTACGCTGGAACGGTGTATGGGTTTGTTTAGCTTCCCTCTTAGGTCCATGTGAATTGAAAAGAGCAACTAATTAATTACATTCCAGTAGTTTGTCAAATGTGACATTTGGAACTGTTATTAAGTTGTTGTTTTAAATTAAAAGAAGTCAGCCTTCACTTCTTTGTTATGTGGTAATCCAAGGACTTTGGGAATCTTGTCACTTGAATCTGATATGGTACCTCTGTCTCCTTTCTGAGTTTGTACGTGTAGTGTTTGCTTCTGAAGGACATATTGGTGGAGACCAAGGTACTTTAGTTCTTGAGTATGAGGTTAGTAGAGGTAGGAGGGCCGATGATATTTAGTGCTGTGTGCAGTCAGATGCCGTCAGTATTCATTGCTGTGAGTGCATAAAGATGTGTGTAGTGTTGACATTTCAGCCTATGTCTCTCATGATGGTGGGATATGCGCTACGGTGGTATTAATTAGTGTGGGTTTCCGAACGACACTTTTGGAAGGTTGTCTGTAAAAACTGAAGTTGATTTTTTCTAAGTAGGGAGAGACCAAAGTGAAATTCTTCACCAATTAGCTTGTTTTGTTTCCTTTTCTGAAGAAGCAGGTAAGGCATACTTTAGCATCAGAGCATGGACTGGAAGGTGACAAAAGGAGGAGGCATTTGAGTGTTCTGTTTGTAACTATGGGATGTGCAGAGCTTATTTAGAAACAAGTTTCCCTTGATTTAGCTTTTGGAATAGTTTAAATGATTCCAGGTATTAAGGGGAAAACTGTCAAGGCCAGAGAGTACTTGTATTGTAAAGATAATAATCTGTTGGAGATATTTGGTATCTTTAAGTCTGAGCCACATAGAGGCAAATCTCAATGCTCTGTTGTAACAAAAATTTGTTACAGTTGAGAAGTGGATGATATTTTTGGATAACTGTAACATCAGTAATAGAATAAAGACATGATAGCTCAAAGTACAAATCTTGATTATCAGCATGAAGCTTGAGCAAAAATGGAGCAGTTGATGGTCTTGTGGTAGTCAAGAGTTTGATGTGATAGGCATATCGGACAGGTGGTGTCTCCCAGTGAATATGGACTGTAGTACCTAATTGTAGAACAATATTAGCAAAGTGTAGAAGTGAGGAAGCAAAGAAGCTTTTGCAGTAAGAGAAATGACGTATAATTATAGTGGTGGGATGATGCTGTCCATACCTTGATCAGGAAATGAAAGAGACCACAGGCAGTACCTCTTCAGCAGGTAACATCTGGGATTTGGGTTTGTGTTTTTGTATTTTGGCATGAACCAGTGAAATGTTGGAGGGGGTGAAGTTTTAGCGAAATCACGTTGTGGTGCCGTAAACAGTGGCTCAGGTGTGTGGCAAGAGGCTGATCTTAGGACTAATCAGTACATGGGGTTTTCAAAGGACACTTACTAATAAGCTAATCCTGCTGTGAGCTTAACAGTCATAGAAGGACTAAGCAAACTTCAGTATGCCAACACTGAAGTTCAGAAAGAGAACTCGTGTTGCCCATCATGTTAGGGCAATGCCTACAAAGATACTGCCCCTGAATTTCATACAGCTCTTGTTGATCATGGTGCTTGTCTCCTCACCCACCCACCCTCCATGTCAGCCTTTAGCACACAGGTGATCTGGTAGTATCATTGATTTCAGTTTCCATCTGTCTGTGGACATCAAATCGTTCTTGTTTCAGACTTGCTTCTTGCCTTAGATCTTACATGTGTTGCTTCTATACATTACTTAGTTCACTGTGGTCCTGACCTTTGAAGTTGACTCCTAAATGCTATGCTTATAGAATCCTCCTCCGAAATAACAACGAAAAGGGGGAAGAATGCCAAATAAAAATTGTATAATTCAAAACTGAACAAGTGCAAAATCTTCATATAGACCGTGCTGGAAGAAACAACTATCAAAACAACAGGTGTTCTCCCAAGCAAAAAGTAGAAGCAAATAAAAAATCAGATAAGAACATGAACAGGAAATATGAACAAAGTAGGTAAAAAGCTTTATGTGGAAACCTGGGTAACTCATCGGCAAACTTCATATCTTCAGCAAAGGGTTATAAACAATGAGAATACCGCTACATCTTAAGCAGACCCGCAAGGAGCGCTTAGGTTGATCAGACTTTAAGGGAGTAATTCAAACAGCTAAAGGTATTGAATAATATTTTAATGTTGTATGATAATGGTTAGGACTCAAGCAAGAACAGTGCTCTGCAGTACAAGTAATATCACGTGGTCACTTCAAGTGGATTAATTATTGATGGCTAATCAATGTCAGGGAGATTAGCAACAGAATCTTTAAAAAAAAAAACCAAGGCAACCTGAAACTAAAAAAAAAAAAAGGGTTTCTTCAAACACTAAGTAGGACTTGCAACATGAGGTAATGATGAAAAAGAACATGTGACCAAAGTGCCCTTGCAGAAGTCTTGAAAAAAGCAGGCTGTTAGAAAAATTCAAAGTACACTCATAAAGTGGCAGGTAGTTACACGGAAAGGTAAAGCGCAAATACATGATCTCGTTCAATGCTACGTTATTGAAGTTTCCCCAGTGTGTTGAATGCTCGTTGAAACCGTATCTTATCAATCTGGAGATCAAAGTGGAGCAAGAAGTCTTACTGAGAGTGGCAATTCAAATAACAAGTGAATTTTCTGGAACTGGCTCTGTTCTTCACTGTAGGTGAAAGCAGCTCTGTGGGCCCTCCAAGGAGGCACCTCTGTAGTGATTGCAAATGGAACCCATCCAAAGATCTCAGGTCATGTCATCACAGATATTGTGGAAGGGAAGAAAGTTGGAACTTTTTTTTCAGAAGTAAAACCTGCCGGTGAGTACAGAGGTTATGTGTGCATTGAGAGTTGTAGAGATTCCTGAAAGGTTGGAGTTAAAATTAGTCTAGACATGTACAATGACTGGGAAACCACAACCTGCTTCAAAAAAAGGATTTTGAAAGGTATTTTGTAAAGTAGGAATAGAAAATGTTGAATACTCTGCTCTAGTTCCCTCCAGCTGATAAACTGCTACATCAGACTTGCATTTCAAGAATGCAACGAGAAGAATTGTCACCATGTTTAGTCTTAGGGGTTATCATCTAGTATTGAAGACTTCAGCGTAAAAATGTGGACATACAATGTGTTGCTGAACTAAGATAGTGTTTAGTTTTATTTCTTATTGTAAATTCCTTTTGCGACTTAGTCATCTGGTATGGTAGACGGGAACACTTTCCTGCCACTGCATTGCTGGGATAGTGTGGATAGTGTAACAGTCACTGGAGAAAGTCAAACCAAAGATCCGTGACCTTAGCAGAATAGGACAAGCACGGAGTGATACTTTTGACTTGTGCTTAAAGTCAAGCAAATTTCTTTGTGTATAATAGTCCTTGGTGGATTTCTTGTATGAGTTTGTCGAATCATCCTTTGAACTAATGTAAAGACTTAGCATCCACAGGGCTCTGTGTCATGATAGTCAAGAGCCTTAACTAAATACTGTGTGTAAACTCTGGAGCTAGAACTATGTGAAGAACTGCTTGTTTTAATTTGGGTTTGGGAGGAGCTGGGGAAAGTTTTGAATTTTCTTTGTGGTAGCTTCATTTGATGCCCCTACTGCCTGTGTGGGCAATCAACCCATGTTCAACTTTGAAGATCTGAGACGTTGTCTTTCCTGTCATCATCTCACTTCCCCAAGAAAGAGGTTTGGTCTTAAACATTTTGTACCAAAGCTGTTCCAAAAACTTGGTCATACCTGTTTCTCTTGTTTGAAACTGTTTTCATTTTGTTGTGGCCTTTTTGAGATGGGCAAAAAAATGAAAATTTCACACAGCGTTCAGGATGCAAATGAAGATTTAATTTATGACATGGCAGGACTGAGTTTTGATAAGATTAATGATGTGTTATGTTCTCTAGGCCTTTTCTAATAATTTCAAACATTTAATTTGCTTTTTGATGTTGATGTTCACTGAGATGATATTTTCATAGAATTATTTATAACAATACTAAGGTCTGATTTTCCTTTTCTATCTACATTGCTTCATGTAAATCTGGTTTGAATTACACGTGCTGTTTTGTGGCCTAGTAACGTGGCTGCAGAGGAAATCACAGAATTTCTGAATGGCTGAGGTTGGGAGGGACGATATGACAGATGATAAGGTCTTCTGCTCCTACCCCCTGCTCAAGCAGGTTGCCCAGGACTGTGTCCAGACAGTTTTTTAATATCTCTGAGAATGGAGACTCCACAACCTCTCTGGGCAATTTGTGCCAGTGCTTGATCGTCCTCACAGTGCAAAAGTGCTTCCTGATGGGAGACACCTGCTGTGTTGCAGTTTGTGCCCTTTGCCTCTTGTTTTGTTACTGGGTACCACTCAAAAGAGCTTGTCTCCATCTTCTTTACACCCTCCCTTCAGCATTTGTACATACTGATGGAATCCCCCCTGAGCCACCTTCTCCAGGCTGAACAGTCCCAGCTCTCTCAGCCTGTACTCATACAAAAGATGCTCGACTCCCTTCATCATCTTTGCGGCCCTTCATTGAACTCTCTTCACAGTGTCCATGACACTCTCGTACTGGGACGCCCAGAACTGGACCCAGTACTCCAGGTGTGGCCTCACCAATGCTGAGCAGAGCGGACAGATCCCCTCGCTCGACACTGCACCTAAGGCAGCACAGGGCACTGTTAGCTGCCTTTGCAGGAAGGGCACGCTGCTGGCTTGTGTGTTCAGCTTGGGGTCCACCAGGACCCCCAGGTCCTCCTCTGAGAAACTGTTTTCTAGGAAAAAGTGCGATAGTGACACTTTTTGGTTAGTCCCACTATAATAAATTTGTTTCGGCAGTAAAGTTTTTCATATTGTGACTCCATTCTGGGTCACTTACAAATACGGCAAACAGCAAAAGTCCCTGTGGAACTTTACTGGCAGTCTTCTGCTATTGTGGAAAGTCTTTACTCCAATCCTCTCTTTGTCTTTTATCTTCCAAAGGGCACACTTTGGAAATGAAGCAGCTTCTTACAATCAATTATATCTGCTTGCATACATGTCACTTTTCTCAAAGAACACCAAAACATACTATACTTTGTAAAGTATGACTTTACTTTAAAAAGCTGTTTCAACACTTCTTAAATAAGTCTAATCGTGTGTCCACAAGTTATTTTCTTACACTTCCCACTATACCTCTTGATATTTTCCAGAACACTGAAATTCCTTCTCTGGCAATTTCCATGGTACCCTTCTTCAATAGAGGTTGGGTCATATTTATCACCTTCAAGGCATGTGTTTTACAGGCAATTTCAGGAGAGTTAAAAATCACAACATAGCTTATCCATGAGCTACTTGTGAACTCTTAGGGGAAATGCTACGTGAAGCTGGTGACTTGTTCTGAAATAGAAACAGAAGTAACCTGTTCCATATCATTTCAGTCTGAAACAGATTATTTGAGATGCTGTCAGAAAAAAAGAAAAAAACCCTACCTTTTTTCTATAGGAACCCTTCTAAAATGCACACAAGGGGAGGCAGAGGGAAAGCAGTTTTTCTAGGAGCATTTACTCAGATTGGGTTTTGGATTCCATTATTTGTACATTCCTGTGCTGTTTTGTAATCCTTTTCTGTTTTCCTCAGTTGGATGCTTAAACTTTTCAAAGTTTGCCTCCTTTCTTTCAGTAGCTTACCATGCCCTGAGACTTAGCTATCCTGGTGTTCTTTTGCCCTTTGTCAAGTCTTTTTGATACATGGTGCACACTTGCCTCCGACATGGTGATGTTATAGAATCTCTGTGATGACTCTACGTTTGGGGACCGTGGCAGTATTTTTGTGTCAGGTACAGAGTTTTCTGGTTTAGCATACAACAGATCTCTTGAATATGTCTGTTTAAGACTCTGTACCTGCTTTCCTGCTTTGAGCAAAGAATCGGAAGATGGAAGGGCTAGTGTTTGCTTCCACATGTGCTGTTACTTTGTCTGCGTGGCATATTTTGGGGGTTTTTTTTGCAGGTCCTACAGTAGAGCAGCAGGGTGAAATGGCTCGAGCTGGTGGCAGGACCCTGGCGGCACTACAGCCTGAGCAGGTGACAGAACAATATGGCCTCATTTGTTAAGCTTATGAATGTGTGGCAAGTATTACAACACAGATTTATAACACAAACGGGCCCCCTGGGACAAGAATCTGTTCTTTGTGTATCAGATCCATCATTTGGATTGTAGCATGCTTAAAGAGATAAGAAAAGCAGAAAGATAATGTGCCATGGGGCTATGAAGTAATACATGCTTTCATGTGAGATTTACAAAAATTTTAATAAGTGTTGAATATCACACAGAAATAAATTGTGGTCAGAGCTGCTGAAGAATTGACTGGAATAACTTGCTCCATTCACTCCTGTGTGTAGTGTATGCAAAATAGGAGCTGTAGACAATTAATTACTGCACTGTAGCTGGGTAGGTAAAACGTGGCATCTGTTGTGAAGAAGACAAGGTGGGTCTTAAAGGAAGAACATTGTCGTTTTGGTGAAGAAGAGTGGGCAAGGAAAGCAAGATAATATAAAGCAAAATAAAGGTTGAAGCAGTGCTCAGCCTCATTTTTCAATGTGATGCAAGCTGGAAAAATCAGCTGGCCCCGAGTATTCAGGCTGGAGTCAGGATGGTGAGAGGACGTGGTCAACGTAAATGGACTGAAGGGGACCAGATGTCAAATAGCGTGGACTTTGTGTAAGAAGCCAGTTCAGAAATTGTTTTCTCTTTCAGAGAGCAGAAATTATTTATCGTCTTGCTGACTTACTGACTGACCAGAGAGAAGAAATTCTTTTGGCAAACAAAAAGGATTTAGAAGAGGCTGAAAATAAAGGTAATATTTCAAGTCGTTCCATGGTAATCCTATTGTCTTGAACCTCTCTGGGCCTCGAAAGAAATGAGCAGAACTAGAATCTTCCATCACCTGGGACTGGGTAGTATGACTGTCACTGAAGAGTAAACCCAGAACCTTGAGAGCTTGTTGGTGTAAACAGCTGCAACTTCCTTAATAACATAAACCAGATGCCTTCACCAGAGAACGTACTGAGACCTTGCAAAAATCCAAGCAGCGTATTGTTTGAAAAAAAAAATAAAAAAATTAGCGCTCCATTTTGGCAAGGGAGGCTCACTTTAGAAATGGAGTATAACAAACATCATCTCTGTACTGTCATGCATAAAGCAAATATTTTCTGGGCTGGTTAAGTTAATGTTTGGTTCCTGAGGGGAAGGCTGTCATCTCTGTACTTCATACTTTCCAAAAAGAACCATGTCCCCTAGTGACTGAGGAAGTTTCTCTGTAGGTGGCTTGGATTGAACCCATTCTTCTTTGTTAGATTGATGCATTCATTGAGAAGTTGGGATTGGAATGTGTACATAAAGGGGTAGCAAATATATGTAAATGACACGTCGTGAATTTTAATACTTTGTGGAAGTTGCCAGGGAACTGGTTTTTGCTGACCAGAGACTTAAGGAGACGTGGCTGGGTTAACTTACTGTCTGAACATGTTCAGACTAGAAAATTCAGGCAGTTCTTGGCCAGTCTGAACAGAAATGATATGCGTGTGTCTGTGCTTTGGGATTTCTATCTGTAAGATAGCAGGATGAAATTACTGCCTGAACCTTCCAGAAATACAGGCAAGTGTAGAAATCTGTAAGGAATTCAGGCATATAGCAGTACTTGAAATAGGACAGACCTTATCTCTGTGGATGTTGATGTTGCTTCAGGTACAAATCACTTAAACCGCATTAAGTGGAAATGTGGTGGTGGGTGAAATCATTGTCACATTGGAGTGATTTTATTGTGACTAGCAGACTTAATGCTGTGCATGTTTCATCGCGGTTAAGTTTCTTGCCAGGGAGTGCGAAATACCTGAATTTTCCTTAGGTTCACTGCTTGTTTAAATTGCTTTTACCTGAGCCTAGACAGACCAATCTATCTCCAGCACAATTTTTTCTGTCTTGTAGGGAGATTGGCACTTCCTTTGTTGAAACGTTTAAGTCTGTCTACATCAAAGCTGAACAGCTTGGCTATTGGTCTGCGCCAGATTGCAGCATCCTCACAGGACAGTGTCGGCCGTGTAATTCGGCGAACACGTATAGCAAAAGACCTGGATTTGGAGCAGGTGACAGTGCCCATTGGTGTCCTTCTCGTGATCTTTGAGTCCCGTCCTGACTGTCTTCCACAGGTATGTAAGGAGGGCAGATTACACTGATTACACTACTGGGTAATCTTTGATGAGAAAAGAACGGGTATTTCTATTGGTGAGCAAATAGGAGGTTGCAAGAAGTCTTGTCTCAAAGGACTCTTGCTTGGATTCTTCTAAAACTGATTTTGTTGACACCCCTTTTTTTCCTGCAGAGCTATTCTCAGGACTTACCTCTGCAGTGTTCAGAGTTATTCAGGCCTGGTTTTATTTTTTTTATTTTATCTTAAATCTGACAGAGAAGGAGTTATCTTACATTCAGATGGTGCGGTTTCTGCATGTGTCTTACGAGTGTGTTCAGTGCCTAACTTGCAGCTTGGGAGGCTCCTGCCAATGAACAGTTGTTTTATCCGTCCATGCTGCATACAGCTGAACTGCAGGCTGGGATGAAACAGTTTAGTGCAGATGCTAGTAATTAACTGTGACTGTCAGGAATATGTGATTAAAAAAAAATAGGCTGAGCATAGAAAGCACAGATGTTCCAGGCTTTGAGTGGTCTGTCCTGTACTGGTACTGCTTGTGTGCAGTGAGGCAGAATCACAGAATGGTACGGATTGGAAGGGACCTGAGCAGACCACCTAGTCCAACCCCCCTGCTAAAGCAGGTTCACCTAGACCAGGTTGCATAGGACTGTGTCCAGGAGGGTTTTGAGTATCTCTGAAGAAGGAATGATAGGAATAATAGCTTTTACTCAGTTGTAGTGAGATGGGTTTGAGGAAGAATGGTGGTGTTCTAAGGTTGTAAGTACTGAAGTTGCTGGAAAGGCTAGTGAAAATCTCGAGCAGTGTGCTGTAAGTGGATATCATTTATCCTGTGCCAGGAATAAGGCAGGCATCTTAAAGGCAAACATGTTCATCTGCAGTGCTGTGTGTGGGTATTGCTGTGAATAATTGCTGTTACAATGCATGAAAATATGGGGGCTGAACTAATGTTGCAGAGGCAACCTTGATCTTATTTTCTAACTCCTGACTACTGAGCAGCTGCAGTAGATTTAAAAAGAGGACAGTTATCAACACTATTTCCCACAATTGACATTAGTTGTCTAGGGTGATTGATTGAGGAGTTCTCTAATATGTGAGCAGGTGTTTGAGGAGAAAGTGATGGGTACAGGCACTTTAAAAGGAAGTGAGACTCCACCCATGGACAGCTTGGTACTTCATGCCTGAAATTTGTGAGTGGTCCCCATTTCTTACTGCAAGGGGGTATGCTGTAGGCAAAGTTCCCATGAAATGAAAAGGCAGTAGTCTGCCTTGTGTACCATTACTAGCTCCTTGCTGCTAGCTCTATTCTTTGTAGACAAGCAGGGTGTTTCCTTGTTGAATTCTAGTCTGTCTTCCTGGACTTCAGCCCTGGTCTCTTGCCTTGTGTAGCTGATGTTTCCCTCTTTCTCCTCCTCTTTATCTTATCTTATCTTGAAACTTACACCAGACTGACTCTTGCTGGCTTTTTTCCCTGCTTTGTCTTGCAGAGTTGGAATAGCTTGCCTTGGTAGTTGCTTTTCTTCTTGCCAGCCTCCTGTCCTCATACTCGCATCAGGTTCTCTGATGCAACTTCAGAGGATCATCTCTGATACCTCTGCATTTGAATTGCCTGGTTTCTGTCCTGTACTGTAGCTGATAATGGGATGGTCTCTGAGTTCCCTCCTCTTAGTTTACTACTGCATCTTGTGCTTGTTTGGGTAAGCAATTACAGGGGAGATTTGACTTTGCCCTGGAAGAGAGTGTGCTCATTTTGTTCCCTGGAGATAGCTTAGGCAGAGTTAGGTCAGTGCTCAGAGTTCAGTCTTAAGATGCAGTAAAGGTGAAACAATTGCAGATTACTAGTTAAGTTTTAATAACCTTCTGATGAGCATATACAAGTAGCATGTTTGCCTCTAATACTCTCAAGGCCAAATTGCAGGCATCTTTCACAGACTGCTTCCACCAAATCCAGTTGTTTCTCTGAAGTATAGTCATGCGCTGCTATTCTTTGAAGGGACTGAACTGCTTTGAAACCCCTTATTTTCTGTTCTCCGTTTAATCACAAGATTTTTTCTTTTTGTGTCTTAATTCTTTTTTTTTTCTTTTCATTTTTTCACATCAGTTCATAACCTTTCTTCTAATCCTGTGCCTGTAGAGCAGAATTCTTTATTTAAAAGAGCTTATTTGTTTAGCTTTCCCTAGTGATACCGACCTTTTGAGAGGCAGATACTTATAAGATACTTTCAAAATACAATCAGACTGCTTTTTGTTGTCGAGTTTTGTAAGTCAGAAAGACGCACACTATGTATGTAAGGCAGGGTTCCTAGACTGTTATACTTGGTGTATTTTTGTGAAGTATTTCTTATTTTTCAGTATTCTTTTAAAATTGCTGACAGCAGGATGAGGTAGAATATCAAACATTGTGATTGTGTTATCCACTTGACATTAGAAGGGGAAAGGAGGTGATCTGAGGAGATGTATCTGGGCTTAACATTATTCTGTATGAATCAGCATCTAAAGTGTGCCACTAAGCAAACTGCTTGTTAGGTGTGAGCCTGACTAATTCTAGCATCCACATCTCAACAACACACAATTGATATACTAATGAGTTGCAGGTTTGGTGATGATATGTACAGATGATGATAATGATACATACGATCTTTCCCAGAAGATAGTAATACAGTAGAATAACTTCAAATGCTGAACTTGTTCATTGTAAAAGGCTATGGAGCGGAGGTGATTTTGTTTTCTGAAGGAGTGTATGCTATTTTTTTTTTTTTCAAATAGATGGAAAAATTGTGAGGCCATTGTGAGTGAGATTGGGGTGTGGAAGACAAAAAGGGATACAAAAGTAAAACAAGTCTGGGAAGAGAGCTTTATTACATCTGACATACTCCTAGGTAGAACAGAACAAAAAACTGAAATGAACAATAAATAAACCTACTACCACCCCTCTATTAAAGAGGTTTTCGGTTTAGTGGGGAAAACATCAATAAGAACTAGTGTCTGGAAACTGAATGAATTGGGTGTATGTTTTCAACAGCAGAAGTAATTTTTCATCTAACTTCCAAAATGCAGTGGCTTCTTCGGAGCACTTTTTTGAAGTATGGTCTAGTGGTGTTCTGGCACCTTAAACAGAAAGACAACAATAGAAGTTGCTTCCTTCTGGTTATAAACATGAAAGTAAAGTGATACAGGTGATGCTGGGCCTATTGTCTAGAAGATTTGGGGTTTTTTCCCCCACGCTTAGGGCAAGTGTTGTCTGTTTATGCTTCTGTTTTAGACAGCACGATGAAAATGTTCTTCCTGCTCACACAAAGAGCTAATTAGCCACTTTCTACCAGAATGGTTAGGGACAAGAGTTCTTGAACCTAAAATTATTCTCCCTGGGGTGATTGCCCACACAGCTACTCAGTTCATACCACAGCCTTTGTCCAGGGTTTCCTCTGAGTTGTCCGCTGCAGTCTCCGCTTGGCAATAGTACCCTGAAAACTCAAGTTTGTTCCTGAAACACTGACGTATTTCATTTCTGCAGTTAAATGTGCTGTTACTTGTAATGATTTTTTGGTGCCATAAAATGAAAACTGTAGATTAACTCAAGTAAATCAACAGGATTAAAAATCCTGCTCTTAATCTGTTTTGTGGGTGTCATTCCGACAGAAGAGACAGATTACTTTCCTCTTTTTTATGTGTATGAGGTTTTGTTTGTTTGTTTGTTTTAAAAATAAATTCTCTTCTGACAGGTGTCTGCTTTGGCCATAGCCAGTGGAAACGGCTTATTACTTAAAGGAGGGAAAGAGGCAGCACATAGCAATCAAATCCTTCATCATCTGACACAAGAAGCACTCTCCATTCACGGAGTCAAAGATGCAGTGCAACTAGTAAGTGCCTAGAATGAAATCAACAATATTTTGCTATGGTATGTGTAAAATGTATGGGCAGAACTTGAGAGTTCCAACCATAGACTGTTTGTATTGCAACTACCACAGGTGAACACAAGAGAGGAAGTAGAAGATCTCTGCCGTTTGGATAAGCTGATAGATCTAATCATTCCACGTGGTTCATCACAACTAGTCCGGAATATCCAGAAAGCTGCTAAGGGAATCCCAGTGATGGGACACAGTGAAGGGATCTGTCATGTGTATGTGGACACAGATGCCAGCGTTGAGAAGGTCACGCGAATAAGTAAGCTGGGAGGGAATGACTGGAGTCTCATGAGTGTAATTGAACTTCATATTTGGATTATGTGGTGTGGTTATGGTAATTGATAATTTATGTGCTGTTCAGAATCTTTGTCGTAAATGTTATGTAACCAATTATCTACTCTTAAACCTCAGTCAGAGACTCAAAGTGTGAATATCCTGCTGCCTGTAATGCTCTGGAAACTCTCTTAATTCATCGAGACTTGCTGAGAACCCCGTTGTTTGATCAGATCATAGACATGTTGAGAGTAGAACAGGTTAGTCACTCATACTTGTGTTTTGTTTTGTGGGTTTTTTTGTAACACTTTAGAAGCATTTGGTCTGGCTGGTGTAGCCCTGTTTAGTTTTGTGCTGGCATAACACTTAAGTTATCCATATGCCTCTTTATACACATAAGTGAACTTATGGAGAGCTTTCTTTGCTTCTCCACACAACCCCAGGTTTTTCTATAGGAATGATCTGAAAGCAGCTTCTTCAGGACAGCTGCGTGCCATTATTTGGATACGAATATTTCCTTTTATATAGCAAAAATAATCTTCTGCCTTAGAAGTGCATATACGCAACCCTTTCTCTACCCTTCTTAATTCTGACTTAATTGCTGTGAATCTCCCAGACACAAAGCCTCTTCTCTAATGTATTCATTGAGCTTCTTAGCCAAGTGAATTCCCTTTCTGTTTTTCTCCTTTCTGATTCTGCTTCGTCCACATTTTTTTTAAACCTTTTATCTTGCATGCCCTTTATCCCCACCCATTTTCCTTCCTAGTATGTCAAAGGAATAGTGAGCAGCCAGTATACTAATTAGTTGTATTGACATGGGTAAGGTTTTGTCAGTAAAGGTGGCAGAGGCATCGGGAGAGATATATCCATGAAGTAGTGTGAATTGCATGTAAATTGAGGATTTTCACATAGCGTTATGTAATTGGCAATTAGAGTGTACAGGCAGTGATTAATGCAGGTAAAACAGGCCATATGTTTTCATGATGTTGAAAGGGTCATAGTAGAAGCAGCTGATAAGCAGTCAGGAGCAAGTCCTCACTTAATGGACTTTTTTTCATGTCTTGTTTGGTTGGTTCTTGGGAAGGGTGGAGTGAAGGATAGATGCCTGGTTTTTGGATGAGAGGAATGCGAGGACTAGTGCATTTCCACCATCACCCACCTAGCTCCTCATACAGTGAGGAGGATGTTACCTCTGTATAATCTGACCTGACAACAAGAAACATGCAAACAGTAGGCAGGATTATGCAATTAAAGTAATTTATAGTTGCAAAAGAAAATGCAGTTTGACAGACACCTTCTTAAAAGCCTTCAGATTTCAAATTATGCACATTTGTACCTTATTTCCCATTTATGTTTGTCTTGTCAAAATTTCCTGTGTTTCATTTGCATGGGGATTTCTCTGCTGTATCAGTTCTAAATTATCTCTCATTGTTTAGGTGTCTCAGCTGCTGTGATTAAACTCAGAGGTTCATAATTCGTTAGATCTTCTTTATAAAAAATGAAAAATATTGGCATGAGTTTTCTTGTTTTGTACCCAGAAACTCCATTGTGTCTGAAACACATGGCGTGGTGGGGGTGGGGGGGGCGGTGTATCAGTTTACAAAACAAAAGGGTGAAAGCCATTCAGGATCTTAAGTCTTGTGGGTGCAAACTTGGAAGCATTCCTGTAGTTATTCTCTGCACTGCAATTGCTTTCTTAAAACAAGGGCTGGCTGCAATATTTTAGCTGTTTTCTCAGTACTAATGTACTGTCTTCCTTCCTGATGACTTTCTCTCTAAGTGATGTGCTTGCTTTAAATAATTTGAAATGAGTCCTGAATTAGGGTCATGTCATTACAGCATGTCATGATAGGTAGCCAACCTAGCATATCAGCTGTTGTACCTTCTCGCTAGATCACCAGTCTGCTAAATTTCCCAAAGTGTAAGATTATTTTTCTTACACTTCACGCAGTGAACGTTTGATTCACAAATGTTGTGGGTTAACCCCAGTCAGCAGCTAAGCACTATCCAGCCGCTCACTCACTCTCCTCTGTACCTAGTGGGACGAGAGGGAGAGAAAAAGAGGAGCAAAAGCAAGTAACCTCGTGGGTTGAAAGAAAGATAGTTTGATAAGCGAAGGAAAGAGGAAGAAGAGTAGAAAAAAACCCCAACGACCACCAAACAAAAAACCCAACCCCCAGAACCCCACACACGTGAGGCAAAGCTAATTACTCATTATCTGCCACAAGTAGACCAACACCCAGCCAGTCTCTGGGCAACGCCTACCTTCTTCAGAATCCCCCTCCCCTCAGTTTGTATTGCTGCTGCTGCTCACAACATTATATGGCGTGTAATATCTGTTTGGTCAGTTTGGGTCAGATACTGTGGTTGTGTCTCCTTGCAGCTTCCTGCACATTCCCAACCTTCTTGCTAGGGAGACAGAGTAAGGGGAAGAGAAAGCCTTGATGCTGTACAAGGCTCTGTTCAGCAACAGCCAAACCATTGCGTTTTTTCAATGCTGTTTTAGTCCCAAGTCCAAAACAAAGCACCGTAGGGACTGCTGTGAAGAAAGCGAACTCCATCCCACACAGAGTACAAGAAGCCACACTTTCACTTGGAAGGCATTGGTATGGTCAGCAGCACAAAAAGTTTCTGGTATTGCAGGTGAAGATTCACGCTGGCCCAAAGTTTGCATCTTACTTGACATTCAGTCCTTCGGAAGTGAAATCTCTCCGCACAGAATATGGGGACCTGGAGTGCTGCATTGAGGTGGTGGACAGTGTCCAAGAGGCTATTGAACATATCCACAAGTACGGAAGTTCTCACACGGATGTTATCATCACAGAGAATGGTTAGTGATCAGTCTGTTTACTTAAGCTACTGTTTTAGTTTGACTGACAATTCTTGATATCAGTCTACTTACACTGCAGTAGTTGTTCTTCTCTTGGGATTGTGGTAGGCACAACCAGCTGGAGGCCTATGAGCGAAAAGCACCTGCAGTCCTGTTTAGCTCTGAGAAAACATGTTGTGTTTTCTTGTTCCAGGATGTTAAAGAATGTGCCTGAGGATTTGGCAAATGGCAAGTCGGCACATCCTCTTGCCAGGCAAATTGTTTTGTGTTCCTGCAGACTTGCCGCCATCAGAGGGTTTTGCAGGAACATCTCCCAAATGCTGGAGATGTCCTTAGGCCTCTGAAGGCTGATGAGATGAGCTTCTATAGTAGCTCACTGGAGGGAATAGGGATTTTAGGGAAGATCAGACTTTATCCACTTTGTTTTTCCTTGTCATTTTTATATCTTGCAGAAAAGGTCCACAAATGTTTTACCCCTACTGCTCCCAGTCCTTTACCTTCTACTTCTGCATCCCTACCTAGTATAAAAGCTGCATTTATCTCAATTTGCAGTTTCTTGCCTCTTTGTTGTAGCTTGTGCTTCTTTGTGCAACTCTGTTGCTCCCATCCCTAGCACCTGTCTTGCATGCAGTTTGAACGCTGTGCCAGTTCAAAACCTAGCTAAAGCTGTGCCCAGCCAAAGACTGACTCTCAGACCAAGCCTGGAACTCCTGAGGGTCAGCTGCAGTAAAGTCATGTTGATCTGCGGCTGATCAGTGTATGAGTCGAGCAAACTTCTGTTTCTGTACTTCCTGCCGAGCCTAAATGACTGTCACTAAAAGGCATGCATTGGATATTGGGATCTGGTGCACCGGTCACTTGCTAGGGAGTGTACTGGAAATGGAGCTGATCTTTAATGTTCATCTTGTCGCTAAGGGCGACTGACCTGCAGCTCACAGTCGTATGGAGAATGGAGTCTTCCAGAGCATTAAGACTTGCATAACTCTACTTGAGCTTGCTCAGGTCTCATTCTGTGTTAAACTGGGTTATTTAGCTGATTTCATGTGGTATTTCTGCATTGCATTTCCCAAATATTACCTGCAGTAGCAATTTTTCATTATCTGGAACAATTCCATGTTTGAGATTAATGGAGAGCTGACTCTGTAGTTTGTCTCAGTTTGACTGCGCAGTGTTGTCTGGGGAAGCTGTCCTTTCTCCTCAGTCACACAACTATCCCTGTTTGCAGGTTCTAGACTGGATGTATTTCGAATTAGACCTTTTTTTGCTTTCTTCTAATCTTTGCAAGCTTCTTGTAACATTTGCAGCTGCGTCTATTTGATAAGCTTACTGGGAAGAAGTTATAAATGAACATGTCTTAGCACAGATTGTTTAAATACTGTCTGATAAGGTTGCATGTGAAAGCTGTGTTGTTATACGTGTTCACTGTATTATGTTGTATTTATTGGAGTGCATGATCATTCTGTATGTACTGGATTTTATTTTTCTTTCTGCCTCTTTCCCAGAGAAAACGGCAGAGTTCTTCCTCCAGCATGTGGACAGCGCTTGTGTTTTCTGGAATGCCAGTACTCGATTCGCTGACGGCTACAGATTTGGACTTGGTAAGAGAGAAAATACTGCAGGAATGTGACTGCAGGATTTGCTGTTGTGTGAGAAGTGTGGCAGTCTGAATCCTGGAAGATAGGATTAGTCTCTGCCATTATTGTCTAATACAAGGTTTTCAGGAAAGGTACTGTAGGAAAAGTTGAAGCCTAGACATTTCATCCATGCGGAACAGCATATAGCTTAATCTTTCATGCTGGAACTAGCTAATGCTGCTGTACAGACTATGTAGATTAATTTAGCAGTAGGGAGCAAAGATGTTTTGGATCCTTTGAAGCTCTATTCAATCAGAATGAACTATGTTGCACTCATGTAATGACAGAGCAATGCAACGCAGGATCTGAAACTGGTGAACAGTTTTTGTTTGTATTTCTGATCGTGCTGTAAAGAATGCCATTCTTTGTTCCTGCTGGGCAGACTGAGCTGTTGTCCAGTGTGCCAGTCCTGCAGTGTTGAGGAGTTAAAGGCAGGAGCCAAACCTAGTATTAGTTGCTTAAATAAACAGGGGCACCTACTGTGAATTGCATAAGATAAGGGAAACATTTCCTGAGGTAGAAACTCTGAAATCTCCATAGCAGGCTGTTACTGTGCCATCTAGAACACTCAGTGTTCCACATGATTAAAAAATTCTAGTTAGGGTCTTGTAATATGTCCTTTTTTATCATATTGAGGAGAAAAGATCACAATCTTGACTAATTTAGCTCTGTGTTTTTTTGGGTTTTTTTTAAGGATTACACCCTTACGAAACAAGTCTAAGATCCATATATGAGATACACCTTTTTGTTGCATCTTTCTCTCTAAAAGTAACTCTGTAGCAGCCAGAAGTATAAACATTACCATTTATAATGTAATAGTTAAGCTCCTCTAACTTTTAAATCACGTAAACATAACTTCTGGTATTCGGCGAGGAGCAGAGAAAGGCAGGTCACTGAAAGGCAGACAGTTGTTTTTACGTGAATGTGCAAAACTGCTTAGTATGAAGTGAACATCTTCTGAGGACTTGTCTTGTGTGTTTCCTGCAGGTGCTGAGGTGGGAATTAGTACTTCTCGTATCCATGCACGTGGACCAGTGGGAATTGAAGGACTCTTAACTACGAAGTGGTTGCTGAGGGGGGACAATCATGTTGTTTCTGACTTCTCAGAGCATGGGAGCATGAAGTATCTTCATGAGAGCCTCCCTCTTCCTCAGAGAAATACCAACTAAGAACATCAGGCTGAGGAGGAAACCCCAGGGGTATAAATATTTCCTGAATATGTTCAGGCTTCAGGGTGCTCTTTGGAGAGGGAGTTTGTTTTTCATCTTCAGGAACATTGATCTCAGTCACTGTGCAGTACAATGAATACAAAATGATCGCATCTCTGAGCTTTTTTTTTTTTTTTTTTGCTGACTCTATTTCCTTAAATAGTACCTGCAAACTGACCTCCCTTTTCCCAAAGACAGACGTCTTCAAAACATACAGGTGTAACACAAGGAAAGATTTAAATATCTGCTGCATTCTTTTTTTATCCCAGTGCTCCCTATAGCAAATATGCTTGGTGGTGAAGCATTTTGTTTGTTTGTTTGTAAGTCTTTGTTTTATTCAAATATCTGTTCTGGAGAGCAAACTTGATAGTTGTTTTTTTTTTTTTCTTCAGTCTTGTGATCATGACAGCTCTTGAAAGCCAGAAAGCTTTACACTTACTTTCTTTGTATTTGATCACTCTTGTGATAAGGGGAGAGATGTTCCAAATGCATAGTAAGCTTTTGACCAAGAAACCTTTTATATCTCATTTCTTTATATTGTTGGCTATTGTAGGTAAATAACACAACTGTCTACTGTGTGAATTTTGTTACTTGTACCAAAGGTTTATCTTTCTTTGGTTTTATATAAAACTTAACCTTCTACAACCCCTCCTCCAACAGCACTCCTACTTCGACTTGGCTTTTTCTGAACAAAATTCTGCAGAAAAGCATTTCTTCATGCACTAGGGTGAGTGGGCTCACACATATGCCCTGCAGTGAGGTGCTCAGTGCAGCTCTTCCTTGATCGCTACCGGGCACAGCTGGCGGCTTGGCGCTCCCCGCAGCCATTCTCAGCACAGCTCTATGTTACTCACATGACAGCGCTGCAGTACACCCTGCTCTCTGACGCACCACGGTTCAACGGCGTGTGTGGCCGGCTCCAGCTCTCAGGCGCTGGGGCAGTACCGATGTGGTACCATGCTGCGAGGGCACTGTCTCCCTTTCTGCCTGCTTCTCACAGCCATTACTTCAGCTCCTTCTCCTGCGCCGTTGGTGGCTAGCACATGCGCGACGCTCAGGAGTCCATTCTAGCACACCCCTCTCTGCTGGTCCGTGCGTGCAGGATGTACAGGGAGAGCATGGCAGGGCACAGGCCACATTTCACCTCCCCACAGATTCTGAGGGCCTGCGAACGCTGGTGAGGTAGCGAGACACTCCAGTAGCTGCAGGTGTCTCCTGGTCACTGGATGCAGTGCGATGGGGCAAGGGAGCTCAGCCCAGCACCAGGGCCTGTGACGCAGACCCTGCCGGGAGCCTGCTGAGGGGGGCTTGCTGTCATTGGACAAGGTATTTTTACCTAGATTAGCTGCAAAGCGTGAAAGGAAAATAATGGAATAAAAGGAACATCAGGAGTCCATTCTAGCACACCCCTCTCTGCTGGTCCGTGCGTGCAGGATGTACAGGGAGAGCATGGCAGGGCACAGGCCACATTTCACCTCCCCACAGATTCTGAGGGCCTGCGAACGCTGGTGAGGTAGCGAGACACTCCAGTAGCTGCAGGTGTCTCCTGGTCACTGGATGCAGTGCGATGGGGCAAGGGAGCTCAGCCCAGCACCAGGGCCTGTGACGCAGACCCTGCCGGGAGCGTGATGAGGGGGGCTTGCTGTCATTGCAGCAGCTGCTGGTGCATGTGCTTGGGCCCAGGGACACCAACAGCCGGGAGCAGTGGTCAGGGCCTGGAGCAGGGCAGTGGTGCGGCAGCTCGGAGGATGGTGCTGCCGGGGTGTGCCTGCCCAAGATTGCTGGCGAGTTGCAAGGAAGTTGAAAACCGACTGAACAGATGTAAGGATATTTTGAATCGGGCATGATAAACCCTGAGAGTTTCCCAAGAGCTGTTACTGGGGAAGGAGGAAGATGGAGAAAAACAGATCCGCTTACCCCACTCAGGGTACTTAGAAGCCTCCCCGCCCACCAGCACAAACCACAGATGCCTCCCTAAGAATTAACACTTCTCCTGAGCCTTCCCCAGCCCTGCTCGCCCCGCACAAGCCTGCCTGTAGCACTGAGCCTCACATCCTCTGCTGTCTCTCTGGGCACACACGCAGCCACCCACAGGACCCATACGCACTCAGCATCCCTCTGGGGTGGGACCCTCACCCCTGAGGCAACCCCCTCTTTCCATCTTGCACACTTCTCCCCCCTCCTCCCCCCATCCACCCAAACAGCCCCTAAAAGTTCTGAAACCACCCATAAGTCCTGTACAAAGCCCCCAGTGATCTTCCCACCTATTTTAGCCTCAATGCTAAAATACTCCATCCTCTGCCCCAACTTTTTTGCCAACTCCAGAACCTTCACCAAAGTCCATCCTGTTGCCTCAGAAAAACCCCAAATGCTGTCCTAACAGCAGCAAGCTAGCTCTTGAATACACTTTATTCTCATATACCAAGTCATTAGAATCAATTAGGGGAAACAGCAATCTCGCCAGAAACTTTCTACAGCAGGAGGAATTTCAGCATGGACTAAAGTAACTTATGTTAAAAATGCTTGTTGTTTTTGTCTCCCAGGGGCAGCACTGAGGATTAAGTCATCCATTCCTTCCCTGCAGGTACCATTGAATGTATTTGGCTTAGCTTTGCTTTGGTTGGTTCTGTTTTGTTTTATCATATATGCATATGAACTATATGTAATACTTACTTTTTAGGGTAAATGGCATAGCTGAAGTTGAAGAACTCGGAAGAAGGTAAGCCAGCTGAAGAATAAAATTAAGCGGATCAAGTTATTTCTGTGTCCAAACAAGAGAAACCGCCTTTATCCTAGTGGGGAAGGATCACTATTAATAGTTATCAGGATACTAGATCATGAACATCTAATTCAAGCTTCACGTATAACAGAAAGTATGACATATACATACATTTGTGTGCACATGATTGTATGCATCAATGAAGTCTTGTAAAGAGCTGTAAGACACCAAGTTATTTTCTTAAGTGGATGTCAGTTAAGTGACCGGAGCTACAAAAGAGGAAGTGATAAACATCTGAAATGTAAAATTCTCTGGGTAGTGCTGAGAACAGAATACACAGTGAGTCCCAGGCCCTTTGGTCTGTGTCCCCCTGTTCCCTGATCTAGTCCCTCCCTGCCTTGCTCTGTGTGTCCCCCCCTCCCCCCCAGTGCTGCCTGCCTTTCTGCCTGTCCCTCTTTCCATCTCTCTGTTGCACTGTTCTTCATCCCTCCCTTCTTCTCTCCATACCTCCTGCATCCTTCTGCCTATCCCTCCACCTCTTCCTACTCAAGTCCCTCTTTACCCCCTTCCAGTCCCTCTTCACCCCCCCTTCCATCCTGCTGCTTGTGTGTCCTTCCTATCTGCCTGACTCTTAATCTCCCTTTTCCTCTCCTCTCCTCTTCATCCTTCTATCTGGGACTATACATTACTCTCTTCTGCTTTCTGTCTCTTTCCAGCTTTCCAACCTTCTCTTTTTCTCTCCATCTCTCTGTACAGCTCCACATCTTTCTGTTTTTCTCTCCATCGCTTGATCAGGCTCTCCATCTGCCACTTTATTCCCCCTCCCTTTGGCCCTCCAACCTCTGTCCACCTCTTCATTGCTCTCTTTGCTTTTGCATCCCTCTGTCCACCTCTCCATCTCTCTCTGCCTTGCTATCCTGTCTGCCTTGCTCCCTGTACCTCTGTCTGGCTACCTGACCCTTGTTTCCACTCTATGTATTCTTCTCTATGGCTCTCCATCCCTCTTTCTCTCCACAAATCTGTTTACCTGTCCCTCTGATCCTCTCAGTCCCTCTGATCCTCTCAATCTCATCTTAACTTCTTGTCTTTGTTCTCCAGCCCTCTCTCGGGTTCCCCATCCCTCTGCATCTACAAAACGCTGTTCATCTCTTTGGGTCCCCATTCCTGTTTTTCCTTTGTCCATCCCTCTGTCCGCATCTACATCCCTCTCTTCCACTCCCTTTCCTTCTGTCTGGCTCCCTGATCCCCTTTTCATCCCTCTCTTCGGTTCCCTGTCCCTCTGTCTCACTATCCATCTACCTCTTTCTCTTGCTGCCTGTTTATCTTTTTGTCTTTCTAGCCATCTCTGCTGATCCCAATCCCTGTTGTTCTGTCTGTCCCTCTGTCAGGTTCTCCATCCTTCTGTCTCTTCCTGTCATTCTGTCTGGTACCCTATTGATTTGTTCGGTGACCTTTCCCTCTTTTCCTCTCTTCATCCCTTTGTCCACTTCTACATCACTCTTTTGCTTTCTTCTGCTCCAATCCCTCTGTTTGGCCCTCCATCCTTCTCTTTCCCCTCCTACCCAGCTCCTCATCTCTGTGTCCAGTCCGTGGTCCCTCTCTTTCTCTTCCCATGCCTCTGTCCACCTAGCCATCCCTCTTTTTCCTTATCTATCTGTTTGTCTACCTCCATCTGTCTCCTTGACTCCGCCTCTCTCTGTCTGGCTCCTTGTCCCTCTCTGTCTGCACTCTTCTGTTTGCCTCTCGATCCCTCTCTTTCTCTCTTCCACTCCTGTTCTGCACTAGGGCAGCTGGGAGGCTGGTGAGGTGGGAGAGAGAGATCTCAGTAAGAAAGGCCTGACAACAAATGGCTTGATGAGATAGAGTTATAGTAAATGGAGTTACATCAGGCTGGCTGCCAGTCATCAGTGGGGTTCCCCAGGGCTCAGTTTTAGGGCCAGTGCTCTTTAATAAATGACCTGGACACAGGAACCAAATGTACATTAACTAAGCTTGCTAATGATACTAAACTAAGAGGAGCGGTTTAGTTATTAGCAGTTAGTATCATTTAGTAATGATACTAAACTAGGACTCCCTCAAGAACGGAGAGGCTTTACAGAGAGATCTGGATAGATGAGAGCTGGGCAATCGTCAACCGTATGAAATTTAACAAGAGCAAGTGCTGGGTTTTCCATTTGGGATGGGATAATCTTGGTTATACATACAAACTGGGGGATGAGAGACTGGAGAGCAGCCCTGTGGAAAGAGGTCTGGGGGTCTGGGTTTATGGCAAGTTGAGTATGAGTCAGCAGTGTGCCCTGGCAGCAAAAAAGGCCAGCCGTATCCTGGGATGCGTCAAGCAGGTAATTGTCCCACTCCACGCTGCATTGATGCAGCCCCACCTCAAGTACTGTGTGCAGTTTT